ATCAGAGCTGCTCACTGTGAACATGTCCTCAATCAAACTCAATGACATAAATTAAGTGGCTTTAAATGTTACAGAAACATTGTTTACATTATTCATGTATCAGCGTTGAATAAAAAAAACAAGTGTCAACAGTTATTCTGTGAATTCTAATGAGATTTACATTTAGATTTAGATCTCAATTTAAAACAGCAGTTCAGATTCGACAGAGCTAAGAAACTATTTTGCATTTTTCTAAAAGCTTGATGAAACTAGTTTGTTGCAGGACTAACTAGTATTTTTATTAATTTTTTTTAACATAATTTGGACCTATTGTATACCCCGGGTCATATAGTGTTTTATATAACTGGGGGCAGAAGTCTCGCTGCCTTGCTCCTCATTGCTGTATTTAAGTTATCTTGAATAGTATGATGGTTATTATAGTATTTTTACTGCAAGAATCATAATGTACAGCATATATATTACATTAAAAGCTTACTACTATATCTTGAATTATATTACTATATTGACCAACTACACATTGTAAAATCAATACGTTGATTCACCTCCACAGATTGCAATTTGCACTGCAAATCAGAACAGAGTTTATTCTAAATATAATATAGATTCAGCAAATTCATCTGTGGAGACAAAATGTTTTCTTTTTTTCTTATGCATGTTTTTACAAACTCGCTGATGTTGGCTTCCATTGTTGTAAACAAGTCCTCACCTGTGGTCTTTTTAAAGTGCTTACAACCTGATTGATGAGTCAACATTCAGGTGTTTGGCCAGGTCGCAGGTGTATCGTAATAATATAATATAATTGTGGTTTACGTGTAATTTTAGTGTGGTAGCAATTTTTTTTTTTTTAACTGTAATTGTAATGCGTGTTGGCTGACATATTTGTTCTTTAAGTGAACAGGACAAGTATCTGCTTGAAGCAGTTGTCAGCAATGTATTTGGACACTTCCAAAGCTCCTGACAGACCTCTGACGTTGCTGACAATTGTTGTGGAATATTTCTTATGACTAGTCGGGAGAAGAAAGTGAAGGTTTTCAATCAATATAAAGTAAACAGAGTCTTGATGAACGATCAAGGTTTGTAAAGTCAATTTATTTGCTTGCAAGCAAAGAGAACAGTCTCACAGACACATTGCAGTGATCTGTAAGAGTGGTCTGCCTAAACAGTCACAATGCATGGACATTTATGCTCAGACAGCTTCCTGTTATCTGCTTAGCTAACAAGAATACACAACACAATAAAAGGCAGGTCATCCTTCGAGCCTTAGTATACTTCATTTAAGACAACAAGAAGGCGATTCATCTCCTGTTTGCAGATCCCTTTGTTTACAGTTTGCCTTACAATAAACCGTTTAAACACACAGCAGATGCTTCCTTTGAGGCCATTGTGACATTGTTAAAATGACTATTGCAGAGACAGAATAGACATTTTTTACCCTCACACATCATATATGCATGCAAAGGTTTACGCCTTTACAACTTCAGATAATGCGTCATAAAGGAAGTAAAAGTATTTCAGACAAAGGATCTCTGTTAGTCAAGGCCTCTCTGTGTCTCCGTCTTACGAAGAAAGAAACAGTGCACAAGATAACAGATAACAAGACACCTGGATACTAAACTAATTAAAATCATCTACTGAAACTACAGTTTGGTGTCTGCACTTTTAGGACTTACATTCTTTAAACCTTCACATGAGACTATGACATATTTTCCCATTACACAATTACCTCTTTTCCCCTGCATCCCTTTTTTGCACCATGTTTCATATTTTTTCTGCATTATATTTAATATTTTATTTTGCGCATATCGTATCTTTGTACAAATTGTGTTCCTGTATAATATTGTATTTGTATGATTATATTTCAATCAGAGTATGGTGGAGGCACAAGAAGGTGTGGTAGTAGCTCAGTCTTTAGGGAGATGACATGACAATCTGAGGTTCAGTGGTTCAAGTCCTTGTAGTGACACTGTCACTTATTCTGGTACTCATATGCAATTTTTTAGTTCGTGTACAATGAGTGTCAATACAAGTTGATCAACATTAACATGAAGAAAACTTTGGTTGCTTGATGGCTCTATCTCGAGCATCAAATGTGTTTGGCAACAGTTCGCACACACATCGAATTTCTACTGTTAGCAGGTGAGTTCCAATGGATACCGTCACTGGAACACAATTTAGTCGTTTTTGATTTGTGTAAACTGTGAGCTTCATCTGACTTGTTTCATGTGTTCTATCACATTGAAGCCCAATTGTTCAAAATCAGGGCTCGTCCGGGATTTGAACCCGGGACCTCTCGCACCCTAAGCGAGAATCATACCCCTAGACCAACGAGCCATACTTTTACAGTTAAAAGGAGGACACAAATCTTGCTTTCCCATTCTTTCCAGACCTGTACTTAAGTTCTGTTCTGCTGATGTGGCATCTTACAGACCCATATCATATCTGGTCAAAGAGCGCCCTCTGCTGCTCAACATTTTATATCCCATTCAGCACTCTGAGCTCTTCACACCCTGCTCATGTGGAACGGTGCCTCGCTATTGAGGTTATTTTGGGCAAATGACAACATATGCTGCATATCTTATGGTGTGTGGTATGTGGGCCGGCCTCACCCAAATAGACCTCACGTTGAAACTCGCCCATTTGGGAGTGTGACATGGCTGCTGGCAGTCCCCCAGATCTGCTCAGGATTTGGGGGTTAATTTGTTCAGCTTGCTATTTCCATTGTTTTCCTCAGCACGTTTAATGTTCAAAAAATGTCATAAAGGGCTCGAAATGTTTGCAAAGGCGCCCTCAAGAACTCGACTATTTGACAGACAGTCCTACAGCCCTTACAGACTTTGTGGCAACACGTGGACGTTGGGAGTTGGTCCCAGAAAAAAAAGGTCAGAATGCCAGATTGTACATATCCGTTACTTGCCTGCAAGTCGTTGTTTGGGTCACGTCTGATGTTGATCAGTGTTTAATAAACTGAAGTTATTCTGGGAGCAGCAAACACACTGATGGTGGTCGAGGCTTATGGTGCAGTTCAGCCAGACTTCCTATCAGAGCTGCTCACTGTGAACATGTCCTCTGCTGATAATAACTTTCAATAGAAATAGTTATACTATTAATGATCAAACACACTGACAAATGTTACCTGTATTGGACAGGAAAGTAATGCCTTAAATCCATATATCAGAGCTAAATATTCAAAAACTTCCTTCGGTGTCAAAAAACTAATTTTGAGCGCTGACTGAAATCGAGATGTTTTCAGAGTTATACATTTCAGATTCTACAGAGCTAAGACAATCTATTTGGCATTTTTTAAACCTTAAACCCGTTTGATCCAAAATGGCAAAAACAAATATTTATTATATGAGACATCAGAATGAATGTAAGTGCCAGTGCACTTTCTTAAAACCCCTCTGGGAGCTCTCTCCTCTCTGAGACACCCATTTGGTTCTTTTGGATCGTGTTTCTACATCATACAACATCGCATACACACGTTTCCACTCGTGCACCCACCTACACTGCTGAACTCGCTGACTCCACAAGCCGCAGTTAGTTTAAGCTTTCCTTTAATGTTGACTTTAAATGAATGAACAATGTGTTAATCGGCTTGGTTGTGTGCATCTCCCTCTTTTGTCATGGCCGTGCGGCCTGGTTAGTGAGAACAAGTGGGGCCTCGTCCGTCCACATGTTAAAGGTTACGGTACGGCACACCCTGTGTTTCGGGGATGCATTTTGGATAGGAAAGTTGATTTGATCGCTTGGTGTTGTTGCTCTTGCAGTCGGGAGAAGTCGGCCGTGTTGACACGAGTGGACAGGTGTGAGCCTTCAGCAGTGATTGCATGGTCCTCTACTGTGTTCAAGTTTTGGCTTTTGTGGAGTGTCCCTAGGTGGGTATAGCAACGTTGTCCGTTTGTTTTTTTAATGTGGTCAGAGCAGTCGTCTTGGGGCCACATCCAGAGCTTTCAGGTGAGTAACCAGCTTGCTTGGGGGGGGGGCTACTGGTTAAATGTTTCAGTGAGGTAGTTTAGTTTGGGGTAGGCAGTTGAGGTAGAGGGGGGGCTTCCACATTAATTTGGGGGACATATCGTCTCTTTTGTTCACTAGTTGACCTGGGCAACACCTATGACGGGTGTAGAGGATTTTGTTGCTCTGAGGGGTCGTTGCGTTAAAGGTCCGCTCCTGAAGATTTCACCTGTGCCATTTGGTCTTCTTGGAACCGGTTTAAGAACTCTTTGCCCAGTCGAGTTGCCACATATCTGAGGGTAAGGTTACAACTGCCACTCAGGCTGCGGGATTGGCTGATGAGTATGTACTCATTCATAAGAGCTTGCCCGGTGAGCATGTGTTTCACAAAGGTGGTGGTGTGGAGTCCTCTGTTCGGTTTGGGGGTTTTCTAGGTAAGGGGGCCCCGGGGAAGTCTGAAATTACTGCTGTGAGGTGGACCACTGGAAGCAGGACACTAAGTTAGTGACACTAAAGTACCTGTTAAGATTTTGAGGGATACGGGTGCTCTCAACTCCTATGTTCAGGAGTCCGTTTTGTTGTTTTTCAGAAAAAGACTGATACAGGAGATACAATCCTTCTTCATGGAATGGGGTTAAGGGTGTTGCCAGTGCATAGGAGGCATTTAGATTGTGGCTTGGTGCCTATTGGTGTGAGACCAAAAAAATGATGAATAAAATATGAGTCCTTTGTGTCTAATGTGGTATCTACTCACTTTAGAGGAAAACAAATGTGCAATTGTGATGACTACTATTTTATTTCTAAATTGTGAAACATGGGGTATGCAGCCCACTGCACAGTAGTTAACATTGTGATGACATCACATACATTTATAAAAAAAAAAAAAAAAAAAAAAAAAGCTTTTCTTGGCTTGAGGAAATTTTACAAAATATAAAACCTACATTGTTAAAAAAAAAAAAAAATTGTCAGAACCAATACCCACAAGCCAATGGGTGACTGGACCGTAGGTAGGGGGACCTCTAGTGGCATTGAGGTCAAATGACAACACAGCAACTCCTGCATAGCTGATGGCAGAACAACAGCTGAGATGGAGATCTTATGTTTATATGTCTGCCAATTTTCACACGAGTGCATTTCTTTAGTTATTTTCCACTTAGTAGTTTGCACCATGACAATACATTCAGGAACCATCCCAGATGAGCAACCTCATTAATCCAACCTACAAAGTGTGTTCTCCTTCCCAAATGTCAGGCAAATTAGAAGTTTCATAACCCAGATACAGAATGGACCATATAAGCGCATTGACAAATGATTTAATACAAAACACTATCTTCAACATTTCCATTTCAAGAACATAACAGCAAACATAGGTTACGTTCTCAAAGTAAGGACTGGAAATTGTAAAATAGAAAAGCTATGAACTGAGCAGTTATTGGGTTAGAGCGTCTCTCAGCTCTCTGACGGTGGGGGTGCAGCCCTGCGCACAGCCCTGGACAGGGCTTGTTGGATGACCGGGTACAGTTTATAGCATCCCTCAATGCAGGTCCGCACCCCGGCTGTCAGAGTCTCTTCGGCCATTTCTCCATCCGACTGCAGCCCAGAAATCTGGTTCAGGCTGGGGAGGAAGGCGACGGTCAGACCGCCCTGGTTCTCGCCGCTGACTGAGCCGCAGCTGTTTTCCTCCGCGTAAGAAGGGTCGACCACGTAAGAGGCGCCATCCTGGTGTATGGAACAGCCGAGCACCAGATCGTACATTTCGATCCCTGCGTCCGCGAGGGCGAGAGAAGCGCACGTGACCGCGTGGGCCAGAACAGAACCGCTGTTCTCCAGAACCATCACGTTGACCTCGACCTGAGAGCGGGGGTATTTGTGGAGGCACACGGCTGGCTGCAGACTCTCGTGCAGCATCAGGGAGAGGTCCTTGTCCTGGCTCCCCTGAATCCAGGAGCCCCTCTCCGGGCAGGAGAATGGAGCGAAGCGCATGTCAGTAGTCAACCTGGATACACAGAGAAATACTATTATAATAAAGCTTTGTTGTCTTCATGTACTCTCTTCCTGTAGAACCCAGTCACAAACACCAGTGTCCACTTCAAATGCATAGTATAAGTAGGGATGCAGATGCTTGAGGGCAAACCTGGCTAAACTCAGTTGACAGACTTGCATGATTGAAAATGGCATATGTGAAAGCATTATTAGTGGTAACGCTGGTGGTTTATTTTATCTTTTGTACAACGTTGGAAATAAGTTCATATTTTAAGCACGAGTATTTAACTTCTGTTGAATACTTGAACCGACTATCTGAAGGTTGCTAATGTGAGCTAACGTCAACATTCAGCTAACATAAGCTGCTCCTCGTACAAAACCGAGTGTTACTGCTTATGAATTCAGGCAGAATGTGTAAGTCTCTAGATTAATAAAGCGAAATCAAATAAATACATGAATGAAATCCCTACATACCTTCCACATTTCATATCGGTCTCATCTTTCCGCTCCGTTTCTCTGGGGCCGTAAACGCAGCACATCAACTTGGTGTTCCCAGCCTCGATGTACGCGGAGCCTTTGGCCTGGCTCACCAGCCCGCACCGGACAAACACGGGCCGCACGTCCACTTGGTCCCGCTGACGACCGTCCGCTCTCGGGCCGCGCGAGGGAAGAACGGCCGCAGGTTTGCACAAAAACAGAGACGGGCTCTGAGACGCTTCTGGGCCGCGTACACGTTTGGTGTCAGTCGGCATGGCGCATGGAAGTTCGGTGCAAAATGAGCAGCGTCTGAACAAGTCCGGCACAAATCCTGTCCCCAGGAAACACAGCAAGTCGAATAAAGGTTCCGCTATTGCGTGGTAGTGAAGGGAACTACATCAGTGATAAAAACAAATATGATGTGCTGCTGCAATAACAATGAGTGATATTTCACTATCATTATTATGTCACAAAATCACAAATTATTACATAACTCTTGGTACATCTCATGGCGACTTGGCCAGAACCTAAACACCCAAACTAACGCTCTGAAACTATCATTGACAAGACATTTTAATGTAAATTTATATTTACAAACATGTGCACAACCATTTCTTTATTTTTATCAAGCGGATCAAACATATTTATTGACACCCTCATCAACACCGATGTCTGTTGCATTGCATCAGCCAAACCAAGGAAGTTTGTACCATTCATGAAGCGGGCTCGGCTGAGATTGACAGCAGGCTCGTCCAATAAAAACTTCACCTTCCAACGTACCGGTGCGGACGGGCCAATGGGCGGCTGCCATGGGCGTGTCAACTTTCCTTTTACGTCGAGCAGCGTGGGCTACAGCAGTGTGTCAGGGAGCAGTAACTGATTCATTCTGCGAGAATTGCGACCTCTGTGAGTATTATCCTTTGCTTAAAATGTTTAAAGTGTACCGTGACATTCGCTAAAGAAGATTTTCTGTTAGAGTTGTGGGCTGAAATCTGTCTCTACAGAGGGAGCCTGCTCTGGCTACCATTTCCTTTGCTAACGTCAGCTCGTCGAGCTAGTTCGCCTCTGCCAGATTACAACCGTCCGACGGTCAGATAATGCTGCATTACGGCTTTTGAATGAATGAATGAACACCGTCGAGAGGTTTATTTTGAAGCCTGGAGAGGGGGTGTGAATATTCACTCTGTAGATATAATTCACCATGACTTGCAGTATTTTGTGGCAACGATTTCTGAAGCACTTGTTTACAGCGGAGGTGCGAAGGTGACCTGGGGGAACTTATTTTAGTCAGCAGGAGGAAAGAAAATTAACCCTCTGAGACGTCATGTTACACCTGCGGATACAACTCATTTTAGTCATTTGTGGACCTCCCCAATGGAAAGTCACTGTTTTTGAGAAGCACGGAGCTGCTCGACTGACTGACGTGGAGTTTAACTCGTCAAGATGTTGGCTTCAGAACTTAAAACCCACCCGAGGTCTTTGTCAGTCACGTGATTACAGATGAGAATAATTGTGTTCATCCTTATTTGCATCCTTAAAAGTGCACGACTGTCCCTGTTGTCACTGTATTCTCCTGTTGTCAGTTATTGTATCCTGTTTGCTGTCCCTCCCATGTGTCCTTTGTTGGGTCTCATCTTCATCACAAGGAGCAATTATTTTCATTTATTTTTTTACAATACACCAACAGTCTGTTCTTCACAGAGACCAAAGTTTCCGTCCCATCACCCCAAGGTGTCCACTTTCCCTCGTTGCCAGCGGGGTGGTTTGGTAGTCCGGATGGGGACGGAGGCTGTTTCTGTCTGCTCGCTGGCCCCAGAGAGCCGACGGCATCGGCTGTGTGGTTTCCTTTGCTAACTTGTTTACGAATGAGTCCACTGATGGGAATGTGCTGCCTTTTAATTATAGACATCATTGGTATTGTAGCTATGGTGCTTGGTTATAAGACCAAAACAAAAACATGTTTAATTGAATTCAGATCCTTGAAATCCTTAATGGCTTTAGTTTTCGGTGACATGACCCCAGAATTGCTTCTTTACCGGCTGCTCCTATTGCTTTATGTTAACCCACATATTAAAGACACATATCGGTTTGTAACACACTATTAGGTAGTTGTAAGCAGATATAAGCGTTTAACTAATAGGCCAACTGCTTCTATGAGCTGCTGTTTAACTGTTGACAAATACTGTACAGATATAAAGACTTCAACATGTTCTCATCTGCGTACAACTAAATAATAGTTATAATAACTCTTCTGAAAAAGCAACTGAGAAATTACAATAATGTAATTAAGGTTCAGGGTCCCACAACAAGTGAACTGGACATGGAGCTGAATTGTACAGTATTCATTTTTGTGAATTTTTTGTTCAGACAGCTGATTCAGAATGGACTCCTCTTTGAGTGCAGCTGAAATCCGCGAGAAGTTCATCGACTTCTTCCGTCGCCATGAGCACAAGTACGTCCACTCGTCGGCCACCGTCCCGCTGGACGACCCCACGCTGCTTTTCGCCAACGCTGGCATGAACCAGGTAACCGAACACCCGTGCGCCTCTTTTTTCATACCTACCCACTGCTTTTTTTGCTGCAATTCCGAGATTCTCGACGGCTCACAAATTTGCTTTTTGTGCCGCGTCGTCTTAGTTCAAGCCCATCTTCCTCAACACCATCGACCCGTCCCACCCTATGGCCAGGCTGTTGCGTGCCACCAACACCCAAAAGTGTATCCGGGCAGGAGGCAAACACAACGACCTGGACGATGTGGGCAAAGACGTCTACCACCACACCTTCTTCGAGATGCTGGGGTCCTGGTCCTTTGGAGACTACTTTAAGGTACTACGCTGTCATACTTTTCAGCCACCGTACAGCAATGATATGACTGACATTGGCATTTTGAGGCAGATACCAATATTGATGTTTCATAACGATATAGGTGTTTTCTTTTCATATTTTTATTCAACACATAACTTACAGATCCCTTCAATTTTATTTCATTTATTTTTTTGTTAAAATGTACAGTTGGAAACTCTACTTATCACTACATTCAGTTTCTAAATGACCTCACACCTAGTTTTCTGTATCATGTGCAACAATACTGATTTATCTGCAATTAGCTAATATTGACTGATATATCAGTCTTGCAGACTTATTGGTCTAGCTCCACTTGCACCTTCTATCTGCTGCAGTGCCCTTCATTTTGACTTGAAGATAAAGCGGTAAGCTACAGATTTGCTTTTACTGTGGCCGAGTATGTGTGGAGAAACATGGTCTAATGTAGCTACAAGTTTATTTCTGCTGAGTCGATACAGGATTTTAGCCGTGGTAGGGAATTGTAAAGTTTTCAGTCACGTCAAGTTTCTTTTTCGCAGCAAAGATCCAAAAATGGTCTTTTCTGTGCCGTCGACATGGCTGATTCAACGAGGGGAAACCGTTAAAGAACTTGCTTCATGTGCAAGAATTGATTTTTAATCATGATTATCATATGAACCAGTTTTTTCACTTGTTGAACTTTTCTGTCTCGTTGTCCTCTCGCGTCTCGTCTCGTTCTTCCCTCTGCTCATTCGACCTCTTCCCACCTGCCCCTCCAGCACCTGGCCTGTAAGATGGCCTTGGAGCTGCTGACCCAGGAGTTCGGTATTTCCATAGAGCGTCTGTACGTCACCTACTTCGGGGGTCAACCCGACGCGGGTCTGGAGCCGGACCTGGAGTGCAAACAGATCTGGATCGACCTGGGGTGAGCCTAGCTTGTGAACTAGAGATGTGTCGATGTACGCACCAGATGAAGGCATTTGTACAGGTCCTAATTGTCACACAACTGCATTTTTTTACCAATTTAATTGAATCCCCCGCCCCCCCTCTCTCCCTGCTCGCTGTGTTCCTCTCAGGGTGGATGAGGCTCGCGTGCTGCCGGGCAGTATGAAGGACAACTTCTGGGAGATGGGGGACACCGGGCCCTGCGGCCCCTGCAGTGAGATCCACTACGACCGCATCGGAGGGAGGGACGCCGCTCACCTGGTGAACATGGACGATCCCAATGTCCTGGAGGTCTGGAACCTGGTGTTCATCCAGTTCAACAGGTAACGGAAGAAAAGAGACACACACACACACACACACACACACACACACACACACACAGAGACAGCCAATAATCAGAGTATCGGTAAATCTTCAATGCAATTCCTTGCAGAATGTCCACTGAAAATGCTAGTTTTTGCCACTGACGGGCTCAGATTGTTATAAGTGTCTGACAGCATTATGGTCAGAGGTTTTCTGGTCAAACTGGTGCAATGAATCACACATCAGCACCAAGATTACTTACAGTTGTTCTAAAATAAAACACCATTAGTTTTGATGTCTTGTGGGATAAATGTTGAATCCTTCTGCTTCATTGCATTTGCTTACACCTCCTGTCTAACGCCTCACGGCTGTCCGGTTCACAGCTATCCAGATCAGTGAGTTATATGAAGAGCGTTCAACTGATCATAAGCTTTGTGATCATAAACTACACCCAATCATAAATTTAGATCAGGTGTTGTTGGAATTTGGACACACCTTTGTTTTATTGTCATCTGTTTTGTACACTATGCAGAGCAACTACTGAATCATACGTACTCACCGTCTCTCCACACCTCTTCACAGTCCTTGCTATTGTATGTGCAGTACATGTTCAACAAATGAAGAAATCTGACCACTTGGCCGTGTAAACTAATCTGGTTTCTGAAAAGGTTTAAAATGTGTGACCCAGGAAAGAAATGGTGTCGGGATAAAAAGCAGAATAATTTCTCGTATCCAAAATAATTCAATGTTTGACGTGAACTGAACAAAACTGTATGATCCTCCCTTGTGAAAAAAACCAAGGCACTTTTGATGAGGCGGCCTCGTCAAAAGTGCTTACTCAGTGACTGTGTGTTTTTAACGCTTGCTTCTCGGTCCACCCTGCGCAGAGAGTCAGAGACCGAGCTGAAGCCCCTGCCCAAGAAGAGCATCGACACAGGGATGGGCCTGGAGCGCCTGGTGTCCGTGCTGCAGAACAAGATGTCCAACTATGACACTGACCTCTTCGTCCCGTACTTTGAAGCCATTCAGAAGGTACTGAAACGCACCCCAAGTGCAGCAACATCTCACCTGTCGGGTGTGTGAATGCTGAATTCAGCAGCACACACACTATTGTGATCCAGATTATTCAGATATGTACTTTTGAAAAATATTACGCTTTTTTAAAAACATTTTCTTACAATGGGAGACATTTTCAAATTCTCTTAAAGCTACCTCGAAATGCTCGAAAGGCCTTGCACTATTTAAGTACAAGTCAGCTTTTTGATATCTTTTTAG